TGGATGGTGTGAGTTCCAAAGTCTCTCTCGTTTGCTGTTTTGGTGCCGGGTAGACCATCGTTATACTTAGTCAGGATGCTTAGCGAAGAAGGACCGTTAATACTATAGTTAGTTATGCACGATGATCGGGAGGTACAACAAAGACGAGTAAAACTATCCTTGGTAGGCGATTTTTGAGGGAGCAGACATGGCACTTCGTACGGATCACGTAGTATGTAGGGAGTTAGGATAGATAGGGGTTTGGGAGGTTTTTTTAGAGATACGGATTGACGAGGAAGAGAGACGTACGACAGTACTTAAGGAAGAAGTGACCAGGTATCACTACACTTGGTTTGTGGTGGTTCAAGTGTTAGAAGGAAGCCCCCTGATGAGTTCGCCTTCACGCAGGCGACGAAACGCGTCGGGGCGACGCGTGGACATGAGCTATACTGTGTGATTTACCACTTGGGAACTTGGTGTTTCTTTGCACGATTTGACGAGCACATGTCGTGATGATTATGCTACACTCACCAGCTATGTTGTTCGCTGACTTTCTCTTCCCTTTCTTTCCACGAGTCTCTTTGCCCTCTTTTCTTCTCTCTTAGCGTTAGACATTAGCACGGTGGCTACGTGGTTCAACATTTTTTGCGGTGTTTGTGTTTACTTTCCGGGTCCTACACGGGAAGTATACCAGAATCAGATGGTGAATGATCATCTTGTTTGCGTTTTCTCTCGGACCTCTTCTGGGACAGTGTGAGGACCCGACAGAACGCAACTGCGATGATCGATGATCCTTTCGCGAGGGTGTGACAAAGTATAGCAACGCGAGCGTGATCGTCTTCGCGAAAGCGGGAATGCGAGGGTGGAAGATACCATGTTGGAAATGGTTTAAGTCAGCAAGTGTGCTTATGACATCTTTCATTTGTGGATGTGTAGTAATCCAAGTGGTGAGTCAACGTGTGGTCGGACGCTGTTGGCGTCTCGATATTCGGATTTTCGTATCTCTCGAAACATAGTGGGTTGGTAATGTCGGGTAGTAATTTTAGAGATATCAAATTAGATAGGCAGTGGTTGGTGCTTCAAAGGTTGATACAATATAGATTGGCACCGCTAGTTTTTGTGGCACTTGATTTTCCTGATTCTACTACTAAGGAGGAAGTATACTCGGAGTTCGAGAATATTTTAGGAAGGGTATTTAGTATAGGGTGTATCGTGAGGGATAGAGTAAGGAGGAGGAGAAGGAAAGAACTGAGGAGGACGGATGGCTAATCCGCTGCCGTTTAACGGAATGCAGCAGCCGACCTACGGGGCGGTGGTTCCTCCCACCAATCAAGCTGGGGGAGTGTCATGCTACCTATGCGGAAAAGCCGGCCATTTTGCTCGTAACTGCTGGAGCGCAGGAAATGGGAGACCTCCTTCGGTCCAGGCTCCAGTACAGATCGATGAAGAAACCGCCGAGATGAAGGAGTACTTTCGAAAAAGATACGGAAACAAAAGATGGAAGAAGAGAGGAGGGAGAAGGAACTAGAGGACAGAAGGAGGAGAGAAGAGGAGGCGAGGAAAGAAGCAGATAAACTGAGAGAAGCGGATGAGAGGGAGGCTCGTTTGGAGGCAAGATTGTTGAGACTTCTCGCGCAGCATACGAAGGCATCAAGCAGTTATCAAGTGTCAGTCAAGAAGAAATCTCCTACAACGAAGGCGCGGATGCTGAAAGAGATCACAAATTATTTAGAAGAATCTGAAGACGAGAGTGAGGAGGTCAAGCACGAAGCAGGGAGACTGATCGACGCGATAGGGAGGAGGAAGGGAAAGAAGAGGAAGGGGAACCAGGACATGAGGATGTCGAGGGCACCAAAGATTGGCACTCGACCAGCACCGATAGTGGTTGAAGAAGTACCGGATGAACTGCGAACGCCACTAAGTTGTTGGGGTGCCGGGGAGATTATGGATTTTGCCTTGGATTTGCATCGAAAATTCTCAGCAAAGAAGGTTCCAGAACTTAGGGACTTATGCAACTCTGAAGGGATTGAGTGGACAAAAAGGGAGACAACCATTGGTGAGTTGGTAAAGTGCCGGATGAAGCTTGCATACGAGAATGAGGCAACTCGTCTCTCGCCTCTGGCCGAAAGGTAAGAAAAAGAGGTATGAACTATCTTCGGGTGTTGAGATGTTTGTTATAATCGAGAGAAGAAAGGTATAAGGTACTGCGTCAGCCTCTAGTTTTTTAGCATGAAGATAAGATTGCAAGAATTTTCATGTTGGCAGTAGTGAACGGGTTTTTCCCATGGGCGAAGAAATGGATCGGGTGGGTCGAAACCAAGGGTGGGGATGTGTCGATCAAGAATTCGGGAGTGTATGTACCAGTGAGTCCGTGGTGCCATCATACGTACGTGGGGGGCACGACGCGAAAGATTGGACTGAGATGGCAGGAGCATATTAAGCGAGTTACGGAAGGGA